ATTATTATTATTATTATTATTATTATTATTATTATTATTATTATTATTATTATTATTATTATTATTATTATTATATGCTTTGGGACTTTTCAGCAAAGATAAACAAAGCATTGTCCTGTGCTGTTACATAGATTAGTGACATATGGTCATTGGCTTCTGATAATCAGACCACAAAACATAAACTGTAATGTGAGGGTTCTTTGCTTTCCAATGATTGGACACAACACAGTCAGTGGTGGGATTCAGCCAGTTCGCACCACTTCAGCAGAACCGGTAGCTATTTTTATGTTGCCCAGGCCCAGAATGGACTTCTTCTGGAAGCGGTATCCACACAGAGAACCGGTTGTTCACATATTTGAATCCCACCACTGAACACAGTATAGTATATCTGCACATCATGCTTTATTGCAGCACACACATTCCCCATCAATAGTCTATTGCTCTGGGTAGAATCCACACTTCTAGGATGCTGCCATGTAATTATGTCTTTAATACTCAGGCTGTTAATACTCAGCCAAACAAAAGTCTCAAAGTAGCATACAGCATTTGCCTTTTTTCCAGAAGTTCTTGCACTAGTTGGGATGGGGTGCTGTTTCAGTGTTTCAGTTTTCTAGTTGCTGCTGAGCGCCAGTGCAAAATCCAAGCTCCAGGCAGGACTCCCAGTAATAGCAACAGCAATAGCACTTAGACTTCTATACCGCTTCACAGTGCTTTACAGCACTCTCTTAAGAGGTTTACAGAGTCAGCACATGGCCCCCAACAATCTGGGCCCTCATTTTACCAACCTCGGAAGGAAGAAGGCTGAGTCAACCTTGAGCCGATGAGACTTGGCAGAGTCAGCCTGTAATACTGCATTCTAACCCCTGCACTACCATGACAAGATATGCTTCTCACTGTAGCTTATGATCTTGCCAGTTGAGTAATATTCCTCTTGCCTGCTTATAGTAGCTGCCAACCTCCACATGCTGCCTCCACTTCCCCGTCTTTGTGTCATTTGCTATCACCTTTACTGCTACCTGCACCCCTCCTCACTCAGTCTTAACATTTGCTTTGCAAACTAAAAACCTGGGTGGACATCAGTGCATCCCTGAAAACACCAAGGTGTCATGCCTCCATCGGAGCCGGAATCTGTGGAGGAAAATGAGCTGGAACGGGACCCTATGGAGGTCGAGGGAGAGGTGTTTGTGGTTTCAGAGGAATGTGGGGAAGAGCAGGCCAAGGCAGGCCAGGGCCCTTCAGGATTGGGACAGGATGAACAGGAGAGACAGAGTTCAGGCGATGAGCAAGGGCCACCCTCACCTGATCCTAGAACACGGAGAGTGGAGAGAACAACACAGGCAGGCTCAACTACTCGGGAGGAGAACATCCCGCCCCTCTCCACAAGGCACACCTGGAGACTGAGATTTAAGGAGACGCTGTAGGGAGAAGCATTTGTCGGGCACAAATGCTAATTCCTTGGAGTTTTGTGTGTGTTGTTGCTGATCTCTTGTTCTGTGACTTCTGCTTGGAAACCTGGAAACTCTGACCATTGGACTGGCTGACAACGTTGCTTGGATGTTCAAAGATCTCGGACTGTATTTTGGCTTCCCTTTTGAAACTGCTCAGGCAAGTGTGTATTCACACAGACTTGTTAGGTTTATGATGTATGTGTCATTCCTTGTTATCTCTGTGGCCTTGAGTAAATTCCTCTCCCAATCAGACTGTATGTGAAACTACTTGCAGCCAGAGGCAGCTGAAGGTGTGTGTGTCTTCCTTTGTTTGGAGGCTTGCCAGAAACGTGGGAGCATTTGGGGAAAATTTGGAGCAATTAAAGGGCGGTTTGAATTGCACATGGTCCCCGCGCATGCACATGCAAACAGGCGCATGCACAACAGTGGCACTAGTGTGCACAAACATGCACAAACAGGCCACTGGCACTCATGCAAACAGGCTGCTGGCACCCATGCTCATGTGCAAATGGGATGCTGATGCCTGCACGCATACGCAAACAGGCCGCTGGCACACCCACACATGCACAAACGGGAACACTAGCACTCGTGCAGTGGCGCTACTGTGAGGGGGAGCTTGCCAGCTATTCCCGCGGCCCGGTGGCCATCAGGCTCCAGCCTGGTACTGGGCCGCAGACATAGGTGGGGGACCCCTGATCTACAGCACTGTTTCTTAACCTTGGCAGCTTTAAGATATGTAAATGTCAATTCCCAATTATGCTACTTGAGGAATTCTGGGAGTTGAAGTCTACACATCTTAAAGTCACCAAGGTGGAGAAACGTTGGTCTAAAGAACATTTTTACAAATGGAAAGCATTTAAACAAGTTTTCCATTGCTAAATGTCTACGGAGATTCTCAGTCATCCAGGTCATGGTTGTCCCAGAGGTGCTTTTTCAAGAGGCAACTGGCCTTTCTTGTTTTTCTTTGAAGTAGTTTTGCTTCTCATCCAAGAAGCCTCTTCAGTTCTGATTGGATGGTGGGGAAACATCTTCAAAGAAAAACAAGAAAGTCCAGTTGCGTCTTGAAAAAGCACCTTTGGGACAAGATCTCCATCGCTATCCCTATCCTGCTGTTGCAATAGTCCTTTCCAACCTATAACTAGGCTAAAAGACCAGAAATGTGTAAGGTATCTTTTCCAAGGCACAGTCATAGGAAGAACGAGAAGATGGATAAAGCACACTCATGAGTGGAGTATTTTTTTTATTATTTTTTCTTGGATTCACTTATGAGCTTTATCATGGCTTGTTAAAAGAGTATTGCAAAGTTAACGTTATTCTTCAATCAAAAACCTTCATTCTGCCTAATGAGATTTATGACTGGAGTAGCATCAAAAAAGTAGTTTGGATAGTGGGATGAACCAATAAGAATAGAGATTTTTCCTTTTTTTTCTTCCTTTATCATACTCTCGTTTCCCTGAGATTGAGACTAGAAATGTGTGGTAGGAATCAGGCTGCACTGGTTTCCCTTAAGAAAATCTATGGCTCCGGAGTTTCTCTCAAATCTGTTGTCCTTTGGTGAACCATCATATACAGGACTTATCGAAGATATACTGTCACCCTCTAGTGTACACCTTTCAAAGAAACTGAACCCTGAGTAAGTAGTATTTCCTCTGAATTTCTCTCTGCTTAGATGTAGGATGAGTGCATATGGCAGTAGCATGTCTGCAATACCAACTTGCCACTGAAGACATTCTTTGGCTCTGATGAAAGGAGACCTCTGAATCTGTAGACTGTTGATGGCAATAGACCAGCTTTGAAGTGACAGGGAGAGACAGAGATGGCAGACAAGAGAACGCAGCCTCCAGGCCTTCTGACTGAGTGATGTTTTAATGAGCGTGGAAGAAGGACAGTGTACAGAGCTTCATGTCTTTGAAATGACTGACAGGCTTGTTCTCAGATTGAAAGTGACCACAGATCATGTTTTGGCCTCTCGTCATTAGAATCTTAAATACTGGAGCAGGAGAAATGCATTAGGTGTTATCTTTTCTTAGATCCGACCAGCAGGATTCACTGCAGTCACAAAGTTTGGATCTAATACTTTAACAACCTATTTTGCTTTATGATAGGAATATCTTTCCCTTTTGTATTCTTACACACAACCCTTTTTTCAGATTTCTCGAATCATCCTTATTATTGTTGGCAATGAGATGTGTCATTTAGGCCAACTTGGTGGGAATTGGGAAGAGGCAGAAAGTGGCAATTTCAGTTCTGCATTCTTCTTTAATCTAGTGAATATAATAGGACAAAGAATCAGCGTCTGAATATTTATGTTTTGTGTCCAGCTGAACTTAACGTTTGCCTAGCCAGCTAAATGAAGTGAAATGAAATAATTGCAATACACAGCCCTTAATAATTTCTGAAAACTGAAGAAGATTACAGTGGTAAATTAGATGGGGAAAAAAGAATTAAGAATGTTTTAAAAACTGAACTATATGACTCAACTGGGTTACTCCAGCAACAGTGTTTTGATACAAAATCAGTATTCAAAACATTTGTCTGGAGACATCCTGTCAATGCTAAGTACAAACCTAATTTCTCCCCAAATTAAGTTCACCTAAATGCATTTCAATGAGGACAAAGGTGTAGCCATAGTATGTTTCCGCCGATTAACAGGTATTTCTTCGGGTTTGAGATTTAATAGCGACAGCATATCTATATTCAGACATACTCTTTGAAAATGTCTTCTGCATGTTTACTAAGTATTATATCTGTTGCATTTTCAGTGTAAAATACTTCTTTCTGTTATGCTTCCAGTGAAGAGCTGGTATTAGTGTCAAGGTTCCGACTGATGATCCCAACGTAGTAAGCACAGCTGAGACATTCCAATCTCTAATGCAAAACTTTATTGAGCACACTATATCGGCATTGATGAATAGAAAACCACGTCTAGCTAAATTGGTGCCAGAACAGTAAATTAAAAGAATAGAAACTCCCCTTTCCCCTGATAGTGCAAGTCACATTCCCCAATTAAACATCAGACAATTTTTATGAGAGAACTCTTTCGTTACTTTGTAAATAATATGAATGACCTTGATTCCCAGAATTCACAGCTCACAACCTGCAAATGCACATTCCATTCATCCCTCCCCCCCCCCCCCCCCCCCCCCCCCCCCCCCCCCGGATCTGTAGGCAAGCCAAGAAACAGAAATGGCTGAAACATCATGACAATCAGATCTAGCAGTGTCTAGGTTTCAAATATCATCTATTGTCTACACAAAAGTAGGTGGAACTTTAAGGCTCCTCTCAGATCGAAAAGCAGTTTTTTAATACATTGGTTAAATTGTCTCCTCCCCCCTCCCTTTTCTTTTTTTTCTTTCTTTTTTTTTTAGATATGATGACCCAGCGGAAAGATCAAATTTCCTTTGGCCTTCTCTTCCATTTGGTCTGCTCCTTTGGGTATGGCTTCCCTGCTGATTCCGGGACTGAATTCCGATCTGCCTTCTCTGTCGCTAGGACCAGCAGCATGGAAGGAAGCACCGAGATGGTGATCACCTTTGATAAGGTCTATGTAAACATAGGGGATGACTTTGACCCCAAAGCTGGACTATTTCGATGTCGTATCCCTGGAGCCTACTATTTTTCCTTTACTGTTGGAAAGTACCCCAAGAAAAATTTGTCAGTCATGCTAATGAGAAACAAGAATGAAGTGCAGGCAATTGTATATGATGAACATCACCGTAAAGAGCGAAAAGTGGCCAGCCAAAGTGCCATGCTGCAATTGGACTATGGTGATACTGTGTGGCTACGTTTACATGGGGATCCAAAGTATGCCCTGTATAGCAATGTGGGCCCTTATACAACTTTCAATGGGTACCTCATTTATCCAGACACCTCTAGCTACTTTCAGAATAGAGTAGGATCTCCAGAACTAAGCAAAGAACCTTCTCAGCCTCCCTCTCATGTCATTCAGCAGCTGTCCATCAACCAAAACCAAGTCTCAGAAAGACTCCTGCTTTCCGATGAACCAGCAAGACCACAGGACCCTCGCTCTGCCTTTTCAGCCGCCCGTTCTGAAAGCCTCCTAGGATCGGATGAAAAGCAAACCCAGCATGAGCCCATCACATTTGACACCGAGTTTGTGAACATTGGGAGTGACTTCAATTTTTCAACTGGCATCTTCACGTGTCGTGTTTCAGGCGCCTACTATTTTTCCTTTACCATTGGTAAAATGCCTTTCAAAACAATGTCAGTAAAGCTGATGAAGAACCACAATGAAGTTCAGGCCATGATCTATGATGACAACCATTCCAAAAGGCGTGAGATGCAGAGCCAGAGCATTATGCTTCCTCTTCAATCTGGGGACATTGTCTGGCTCTACAGTCACCAGCACGATGGCTATGGTGCTTACAGCAATCATGGCAAATACATAACCTTCACCGGCTTCCTTGTCTATCCAGAGACCAAGACAAAACCCTCTTCAAATTCCAACATTTCTCCAGGGTCAAATCTCTAAATGTGCATATACAACATAAGAGGCATAAGAGTAATCCAGATGCAGCAGACTCTTGTGCAGGTCCTGGACAGATATCACTCTTCATATGAGAAGCTACAAGCATGCTATTATATGTCCAGCGTATTCCTTATGGACACGTTCCTTGTGTTTTCTGCCTGCAGAGCCATTGTGATTTCTCTCATTCATCCCTAGAATGACATTCACAAGTTGGTGTGTTTTGTTCATCATTACTATTAGACATAAGACTAAAGCATGAAACAATTTGGGGAATAAAAGAATAGGGGGAGATAAATGAGATATGCAAATAAGGGAATTTTTAAAAATGCTGAAAAGCGTTATACGGTAAAAGGTTCCCTCTGCGGAACGTTTGAGAATTGATTACATTCTGTTCAACTGTTGGCAAGCATCACAAGAGAGGGACAGATATAATGGAACACCAAATAAAGCCTGAAACTAAAAGGACTGTGTGTATTTGTACATTTGATGTCACAATATTCAAACCTTTCCATTCATGAAAAAGGATCCCAAGCTTTAAATGTGCGGTATGTTTGTAGTGTATCTCCAATAATTGAAAAATCATTTGATGTTTGATAAATTAAAAAGTACTGGATATTTTAAAAAAATTGCGTACTGTCAAATCCTTGACAAAACTATCGCAGGGAATCGAATTTTAACAACGAAGCTATTCATCATTTAGTATTAAAAGGAAATATTATCTTATAGGCTTCTTTAAGTCTTCTCCATCTAATGCAGAAATACAATAGACCCAAAACATTTTTTTAAAAAAATCCAAGAAATATCTCTTAACTAGACCAGCGATTAAAACTGATTCCATCTGATAAATCAACTATGGATATTTTTAACTGATTGATCTATCAGTTAAAATACTCACTTGTGTGTTGGCATGTTGGATTATTACAAAAGCAGCCCAACAGAGAATTATATGCCTCAAAAGGAAATTATATACACATTTTATATGACGGTTTACAATGGCCGAAGTGCAACAGCTGTAACAAATAAAAAGATACGTTTGTTGAGTTCTTCTATGGTACTTTCCTTGGTGACTATATTTAAAAAAAAAGCTAAAAGATAAGTTATTTAAGGATTTAGTTGCTAGAGCATTTCTATATTTTATTTTGCCCACAAAGAAATTGTTTTGGGGGAAAGGGTAGAACTGGAGACTCCAGGCATAACCATCTGTTCCAACCAGTTTTGGGTACTAAATTATCTATTTCACTAATGAGCAATATAGATGGCAATATAAAATATTTCTTAGTTATGATCATACAGTCATGACCTTGTAAATTTGTATTTTAAAATATCACATAGCCTTCAGAGCGTCCAGTTTCCAGGGCGAACATATGTAATGTCCTCACCTCATTTACTATATATGTAAAACTTGTTATTAATCATGAACAAATAGGATATTTAGCATTTTAAATTGCCTGATGAAACACCACCACCACCCCAACTCTTTCTTTCAAATGTTCTGGATGCTCTCTCTTCCCTTTTTATGCAGATCCTGTGTTTGTAATTGTAATTGTAAAGTTTTCCGCCAGTGCAACAATGTAACAGAAAGAAAATGAAAGGAATGTTGTTGCTTGAGCACTGCTTTCTCAAAATTATCCTGCTAAACAGATCATTACTCTTATCATGACAAGATCTTCCTTTTAACATGCATCTGCTTTCTTATCATTTATGCTACATGAGAAGATAATTTGTGTTCTCTAACAGCAGTTAGCATGGAGGGACATATAGTCCTGTTTTCACTGAAACCCAATCCCAGCCAACAGCAAAGGCCTCCCCAGCGAAAAAAGTAAAAAAGTAGCATAAAGGTAATTTCTGAATGGGACACCCTAGAAAAAGAGAGAGAACCATATTCAAGCTCCTGGATCAGCCTTCTCTAACTTGGCATTCTCCATAGGTGTCAGGGCTATAAGTCCCAGAATTCTTTATCAGACTAGTTATGACTGGGAGTTGTAAATTATAGTATACCTCAAGGTCATTGGGAAAGGCTCTCCTAAATTAGATACATTCAAGAACAAAGGACTGAACTTGGGAAAACAAAGCAGGAAGATTGCTACTTTGGTCCATGCAGAGTCTCAGGATAATGCTACAGAGATCAAAGAACTTCAAATGTATTTCTGCATTTTAGTGTGCAGATTATGGGGTGAAAGATGTTTGGCCCTTTATGCATGAAAATCAGTTTCCTTGAGTCATAATGAAGCTGGGCTTATAGAATTTCTTCAATGCACTAACATAGACAGGCATTTCTTGCCAAGGCCTGGAGGCTAAATGTTGAACAGAATCAGTCAGTTCCTGAGGACAGAATTGTTTGCAGAGCTCCCGGAGGATTTCACTGACCAGCTGAGAGAAAAGGTTGATCCACAGGTTTTTATCCAGGCCTTGGACAATCCGAATCTGGTAAGCAGTAAAGATGGTAGTGAAAACAAGCTGCTCAAA